CTGCAGGCTTTCTAAATGTTGAGGATTACAGTGTGCAAAGAGACTTGCAGGGTTGTTACTGTAGTCCAGCCACAAGTCCTTCAATACATTGCTGTGGTGTTTCCCCAGGAGAGTCACCCTATGCGACCACAAGTCTGGAAGACACTCTATGAAAGACAACACTTGTACACCCAACCCTACCAGGTCATCAATGCTATCGCACATCAGGAAACTAGCCTGCAGTGCAAGACTCCATGCTGTGATGGCACAGTCTACAGCTGGACCTTCCAGATCCAAAATGTTAGAGAGTGAACTTCACAGCCATCTGTAGCCTCCTCGAGTTCAAGTCAATAGCTCTCTACCAGCTATGTTACACTCACTGGGATAGTACTGTTTTGGAGCAAAGGCGCATAGAGGTCAGGTACTAAGGGAACGCACGTGGCCTGTATGTTAACTTTTATATGTAAAATGAAATAACATCATTCATAAATTTGAGTAAGAATGCTTAACTTGTGTTGGCTTGTCATTTTACCTTGTAACCAAGCAGATGCTGTGATGGAAGACTAGATGTTGAACTGTTGCTGACTGGGAAAGTAAGGTTGCAGTTATTTCTAACAGACATAGTTGAATTGTTCACAGCAAGGGCACTAGAAAGGGCGCAGAGAAAAGTTATTGTGGACTGAAAATGTTAACTTGGTTTCTCTCTCCACAAGCACTGCCAGACCTGTTAAGTTTGTCTAGCACTATATGTTTTTATTTCAGATTTCCAGCATGCTTTTACCTGGCTAGAAAATGGTTGTATTACTTTTTTTAACCTTCTTCCTTCTCCTCTTCCTGCTTCTGCTCCTGAACTGCTCATTGTACATTGCTAGCAAGGGCTGTTCTCTCAATAACGGCAAAGTGTGAACTCCTGTCTTCTGCGTAATAAACTTTGATATCCAATCTGCTGAATGATACAAGGTTCCTCCAGAACAGCCCAGTCTTCAGGAGCATTGTTTCAGCTGCATATGTTGACAATGGGGAGTGCTCCAGAGTCATCAATCAGATCCCCAATGGATACTCTTGCACAGTAGCATTTGCTGTGGTGATTCAAATGTAACAACCATAGGATGAGGGCATTGTAACAGCTGGCTAGACACTATCCTGTATGATTATTTGGTTATGAACCAGCTGGTCATTGAGCAAGTGGAATTCCGTTTGAGTTCTAGTATAGGGCAGAGTCAATATATGGCAACTTCAAAGTGAAGTGTGTACAATCCCCGCATGTGCACCTCCAAAATGGGGAAGCCTGCTATCTTGGTAATGCCATGCGCTCGTTCTACCCGCCTGTCTTTAACAAAGAGAAAGCAAAATGTCCTCTTTGAATATTTTAGAAAATTGCAAAATATTGGAAATATTGAGAACACTATCCTCAAATGAGCCTGGTGCATAAAAGTTCTAGGCATGGTTGTTTTCACAGCCACTAGCAATATTGTTATCATTCTGCTCTAACCTTTGCAATGTAGCTGCAAACCTTAGGGGATTTCACTGAGGTCACATTTACTGAAGCATTGCTACCTTCAAAATTGGTCCCCACCGATGTTCAAACAGAAGCAGTGCTCTTGAAACATGCTGGGTAGATTGTCTATTTTACTGAAAGCTCTCCTACCTCTCCTTCCTCTTCTAGCAGCTTTGTCCTGTTCCCCAGACCTCTGTTCATGCTCCAAGTTGTGCTCAATTGCAAGGTAAATGCTTGCTACCACATCTATATCTGCGAATGACTGATTTCTGCAGAATCCAAGAAATCAGAAAAAGTTCTTTGACACCTGCTCTATCACTGTCTGAATTCTCAACAACAGGAAACAAACTTAGAAATCACCAAACACTAATATAGAATTAAAACAGTAGCTTGAAAAATCAACTGGTTGCTAGCTTGTAAGTAATTAATGATCAGATTAATAGTGCTGGCAGGGGTCCTTGTTGATGCTGATTATATATATAACTGTACCGTGCAACATTAATAGAGACAATTAACATTAGTTCCATCAGTTCTAACTTGTTATACTCCGGAAATCCGGTTTGTAAGGAATAAATTGGAGCTATATTTTACATCTTTCTATGAGTATTTATTTATAGTGTTACAAATGACAATTGTGTATATTGAAACCAACAGCCAGAGTTATCAAAACCATGGATACTGAAAACAGATTGTTTTTCCAATTGTTAGCTGAGGAATGAACCAGTATTGAGTGGGAAAAGAGGGTAGAATTATAGAGGACTGCGATTTCAAGACTGTGATGAAGGTTTATAATATATTATTATTTTTCATTTGTGTAAAGGTGATTTGTTATCTAAGGGTCAAAAATTATTTTTCATATCAGGGACTTCAAAACAGCATTTCCAAGAAAGCAGGTATCTTAAGTTAAATGGCTAGCAAGCTACCTGGGGAGTTAATTGCTGGGATGTTTGCTAAGTGGAACTTTTATGACTGACAGAAAAGGTAATCTGTGCAGGGCCTCAAGCAGGTTGAGTCAAATGGATAAAAAAGGTTCCAGCGGAAAAACAGTTAATAATTTGTGGAGATCTTCAGGCCATCAGATCTGGAAAGATGTCTTAAGCTGTTTTAGCAACCTCAAAGCAGTCAAATTCAGAACAAAGTCAATGAGTTAGCCTGTGTGTGTGGAGAGATAGTAGGAACTGCAGATGCTGGAGAATCTGAGATAACAAGGTGTAGAGCTGGATGAACACAGCAGGTCAAGCAGCATCAGAGGAGCAGGAAAGCTGACGTTTCAGGCCTAGACCCTTCTTCAGAAAAAGTCTAGGCCCGAAACGTC